ACTGGAGAGAAACCTTACAAATGTAATGAGTGTGGCAAAGCTTTCATTCGTTCCTCACATTTAAATGTGCATAAGAGAACACATACAGGAGAGAAATCCTACAAGTGTGAAAGTTGTGGAAAGGCTTTTGCTCGTTCCTCACATCTTGCTGTGCATCAGAGAATCCATACTGGAGAGAAACCTTACAAATGGCAAGAGTGTGGAAAATTTTTTATTCAATCTTCACAGCTAGGTATTCATCAAAGAATCCATACTGGAGAGAAACCCTAGAATTATCAAGATTGTCACAAAACCTTCATTTCTGACTCAGGATTTCATAGGAATCAGAATATCTACACTGTGTAGAAACTCTACAAATGTGAACATTCTGCAAAGGCATTTACTCGTTCCTTACTTTCTGTTGTACATCAGAGGATCCATACTGAAATTTTTTTTAAAAAAGAAAAAACCCTAGTTGAAGAATGTGGCAAAACACTTCACCACAGGTCTAACTTGAGTGACCATCAAAGAATATAAACTGGAAACACATTCTTTATATCAAAAAATGTGAAAATTCTTTAATAAATGATCACATTTTATATTATATCAGACAATTCCTACTGATAAGAAAGATTGTAAACATAAAATATGTGAAAAAATTTTAAATACATTTTCCAACTTATACAAATTACAGAAAATATACCACCTATTTTCATAGAGGAAATGCAGGAGGAAAGGCTTTACCAAAATATCCACAGTAGAGATCACAAGAAGATACACAGGGAAAATAACGTTTTTACATAGAATAAATCTGTAGAACTATTTCAACAAGCAGAAAACTACAATAGCAATGCAAATTTTCATGCTAGAGATGACTAAGGCACTGTCAACTTCATGCCATATTCTAATCTAGAGTATTATACAGATGAATGCAAAGTCAACAGTTGCATGATTTTTGTGGGTTTCAAAGGAACAAAGACATAATCTTTTTCTCTATGTTTATATCAAATTGATCCATTTTTCTCTGGACAATTCTTCTACTTAAAAGTATTAGTAATAGACATTAATTTCACCTTCAAATCAGTTCTGACTACAATTTATTTCCTCATAATAACATAAAATCTCAGGGTCAATTTGCTGCATTTTAAAGAGAACTTTGCATATTACAGAGACACCATTAATATTCATTTTCACTTTTGATTAAGGGAAAGTGTAACGTACATCTAGAACATCCCTAGGTAAGCATGCTTTGTGTTTGAATTGCAGCTGAATGTATGCCAAAATGCAGTTGGAATTCAGAGCATCATTCTTCAGCATAAAACTGAGAAAAGAATATCAGAATTAGTGAAATGAAACATATCATCAATCAAGCCTTAAGGAGAAGACAACTCACCAGTGCATGAAAATATTGGTAAATATTCATAGTGAGGTATGATTCAAGTCTGCCATATTATTGGGTGTAAGGAGAGTTTTCAATATCTTTACCAGTAAACATGGAAATGTGAAAGTAATGGAGGTAAATGGTTTCAAGTATATTTAATCTTAATATTTCATACCATGGCGGCCTTTTTTAAGGGACAATGAAGAAGTGCAACATCACTATGGCAGAAGAAAATTGATGCTTCCTCATTGCTGGTGAGGTGATATTTCATGAGGCATCATATGATGAACTTTACAAACCTTTATTTAAAATCAAACTATAACTTTTTTGATTAATAAAGTGTAATGTGTTTTTAATTTTAACATGAATTTCAATTAATGAACTCTTATTTTGCACCAATATTAAACATTGCCAAATTGTTTCAGTCTTTTGGAAACCAAAGTGATTCTAGAAACTGTACCTCATTACAGGACAATACAGTGGAATCTTTTCTCTCATATTAAAATGCTTTCTGCCACGTAAAACTCAAATAAGAGGAAAAGATTTCTTCAAATCACTTATACAAAGATGAAGCTGTTTATTTCATCATCAAATCTGAAGCTTAGTTTTTCTGGGTATACAATTTTTGGTTGGGCTTGGGATGTGGCTCAAGTGGTAGCACACTCGCCTGGCATGTGTGGTCAGTGGAGTTTGTGAGTGTTACACAATTTGAGATAAATTTTAAAAACTTATCTGTTTACCATATTCAGGAATTCAAAATGAAAAATATTTGTCTTTGCAGGATCTACAAGTGGTCATGGTTAGTGGTACTCTCTTCAGTAAAGACAGAGTTTCTCACAGCCCCGCAACCTAATGGCCATCACATAGGTGGCATCTCCCTGATGCTGTGGCAGGATCCTCCTCATGTGACCAGTACTACACTAGCCCAGGGTGTTCCACGTTGCAACCCAGGTTGTAACCTTGAGAGTCCAACAGCACAAGGTGACTGGAGAATGCTAGCCCTGGTTCTCTAGTCCCTAAGAGACATGATGTCCACGTAGGCTACCATCAGGGCTATAGACTTACTTCTGAACTGCTCCAACACTCAGACAGATCTATAGGCAAAGACACCATAGGTCCTCACTAGGACCTCTCCCTGACACCAGCTTCTGCAGAAGTGAAAAAAATGCTGTGGGTTTTCTTTTTGAAGCCCATTTCAGGGATCTCTCTGCATCAATGGAATGGATCTCTGAACATGGGAAGATGAAGAACCAAGACTATGGTGGGGGATGGGCTATGTCCCTTTTGTGACTTGTGTCTCTGACTTAACAATATGGGCATTAATAGATTCAAATCTGTGTTTTTAGAAAGAGGAGCACCTCAGATTCCTTCAAGAAGCAGAACATGTAATCAGTGCTTCAGAGTCTATCCAGCTCAAGCCCAGCCGTGGGTGCTGTTTCCTCAGGAAAAAGGAATGCTTTGCATCAGGTGAAGCAACTGCCAAGCTTCATTCAGCCTGGCAGAGCCTATGCGCTCATGACTAGAGTCCTACAATCACATGACACAGGAACAAATTGTTCCATAGGATTGTGAAGGGCTATGTGACAACCAAAAGGATATGAACCTAGAGTTCTAGTTTAGCATCATATTTAATTGATACCATCACGACGCACACCAATATGAATCTTTCACACTTCCTTGGGTCTCACAAGGGTTGATTCAGAAAGTTAAAGGTTATTAATGCTCTTTCTTTCCCCAAATCTCTTCTATTTAAATTGTTCACTTTTAGCTTTTGGATTGTTTCTTGTCCTCTACTTTCATAGCATTCCTTTGTCTCATTCAAAAACTATGATTTTACCTACATTTTTGTGTTACCATGAATTTATTTAGATATTTTTTTCCCAGAAGAGCCAGGTAAAAGATGGGAAAGAGCACTTAATAAAGGAGCTAATTTTGAGTCCCACCAACTGCCTGTTACCTGGGCTGAACATGGGAAGATGACTCAGGTCAGCGAGGTGTTCTTGGGGAAAAGAAAGACATGTGGCAGAGAAATTGGCAGATTGAGTTCTCCAATTTGGGATATAGTTTATATAAATTCCCACCAGTTCTCCTTTTCCTAGAGTGGGTCAAAATGAGATAATCTTTTATGAGTCAGGGTTCAAATTGTCAAGAGCCTAGTAACAAAATAGTAAATGACATTCATTTCAGTATAACTACAGTTGTGCCATTAAGATAGGTATCCAAACCACATCACAAGGGGCGTTTGAGTTGGAGATTGCTGCATTTGCTAGAGGGTACCATTGAAGAACTCAAGTTTTCCATGGGCACTAAGAGAATTTAGCTGAAGTATCATTCAAATCAGAGTGTTCCATTAACCTTCACTTAAAAATGGGATTCTCTATCATGATCCATTTCATCAGCTTTCTCCTCTCAGGAGACTGTTGATTACATCTAACACATGAAGAGTGAGCCTGGCTTCTGGCTTTAAAGTAAGAAGAGCACAAAATACCTACCAGATGTTGGAGAGTAGAGGTAGGAGGAATGCGGGATCAAGAGTGAAAGCCCCCTCAGGAGAGCATGCCAGTGGAATTCCTCACTAAAGATTCTCTACCTGCTCCTCTCCCAGACCAATGCTCTCTCCATGCTTGCTTCTACTGTCATCTGAATGCAGGCAACTATTTCAGTTGGGGATGTGAGCCCTGGTGTGGAACAATAATATTAAAAATGTACTTTCGGGCTTGTGATGGGGCTCAAGCGGTAGCACGCTTGCCTGGCATGCGTGCGGCTTGGGTTCGATCCTCAACACCACATACAAACAAAAATGTTGTGTCCACCGAAAACTAAAAAATAAATATTAAAAAATTCTCTCTCTCTCTCTCTCTCTCTCTCTCAAAAAAAAATAATAAAATGTACTTTCTCTCACACCCCAAACATCTCAAGCAGATTCAACTTTTTCTATGGAGCTGTAGATATGTATGTATGTGGAGAGAGGGATTAGGGTGCAGATGGAGTGAACAACTTCCTGCTACCAAGAACAGCAGCAACAAGCCACATCACCTTTTACTTTTCAGCAGCCTGTTTACTACTCTGATTGCATGCACATAATGATGAAGTGCTTCTGACTAACTCAAGGTATCATATCAGCTCTGAGTTATTTTATTCTTTTGCTTTGCTTTCCATGAGAGAAAGATTCATATTGTAATGCAGATTCATATTGCTCATTTTAGTCCTCCCTCTCACACAATGAATTAACACATCCAAGATGTGAGAGGTCTTGCTCTTATTTTAAACATGGGTGAGATAGTTGGCTACTTATCTCATGGATCCTACTTATAACCACAACAATGTATGTAAGTAATATGTCTTCTTACAGAAAGCTTCAATTCTCTTAGCATCTATCATAAGCAACAAAGAAATAAAATATAAGTCTTAAGATTTGCCCTTTCCAAAAGTCAACAAGGTAGCCTGTTAGTTGTATGTTTACAAGAGGAAGGCATGAGATGAATGAGTCTGTGAGGAAATAGCTCACTGTTCATTGCACACATGAAAGTAAAGGCTTTGGACTTGGATGTTTGCTCATGTTCACCTGAAGTGACAAAGAGAAGATGTGAAGAGGAGCAAATCAAAGTTTTATCCACAAACAATTGCATTATCATTGAGGAATTAAAAGTTTAAGAACTATCAGTTGGACACTGCTGCAACCTACACAGCTGAACCCACAAAATGGGAGAGAGGTGATGGGAGATTAAGAAACACACACAAACATTTAGAGAATGCTGGGAGCACATGGGACATGACCACTGATGGAGGAATGGTTACCTCAATGTAGCACTGCACATTTGATATGTAGGATTTCATATCCAGGAAGTTAACACTATAAGTGCATTTTTATTTGTGCACTAAAAAGGTACAGAGATAGAAACATTTTTATAGCTATTCTACTGTTGCAACGATAGAATTATTCTTGCTCTGCAGTGCTGTTATTATTCTGCTGTACCCCGGAAGCCAATTATTCAGAGTTTCTGAAAACCAGGCAAGTTTGGAGGTTGCAGTGCTTGATAGATATTGTGGTTATATTGCTAAGCTCAAAATTCTCTATTCATGGCAGCTGGTGTCTGAACTCATGGTCAATACTGATATTGTTTGGTACCTTAGCACAGAACTTCCTCATACAGGGCATTACCTACCACAACTCCTGGGCAATTTTTTCCTGCACCTTTGCACAAAAAAGATCCCATAGCAAAGCACAGCCACAGTTCTGAGACAAAAAAAGACCACTATCCAAGTCATGGCTCTGCACATTTACCCCTTTTATATTTTTTATGTGTGAATGGTCTGGTATTATTTGGAACTTTTGGGTTTCTCCTCAGAAAATGCAGCATCCTGACAGCTCAGTAAAGCAAGATTAGCCTTACACATGGTGGCTGGAGATCAATACCTCCTGGTAGTGAACCATGTGCTCAACCTCATGCATCAGGTTCTTCAGTTGTTTCCATGTTGGTAGTTTGACACTGTGGGTCTGCTGAGTTGTCCTCTATTTCATCCTCAGCATCTTGCTTCCAGTGGAGATTGAATCAGTATCTCAGTTGTGAGCTTCAGTCATTTGAACTGCAGCTTGAGATCCTCCATGGTGATTATGAAGAGTAAACTCAGGTACCCAGATTGTAGGTTCATCTCCTTATGGAATGACACAAGGATGGCCTCTACCACATTATCATGGGATCTGGTCCATTCTGTTGTCCTGTTTGTAAGTTTCTCTACCAAACCCAAACTGGCCTTTGGCATTGAGAGTCATGTGTCATTCTCCTGCAGAACAACCATAGGCACCACAATTGAACAAAAATAAAAACAAAGAGCAGGATTCAAACAAATTTGTGGGGTTCTATAATTCCCACATTTTCCTTTCACTTAACTGATGATTGAAACTGCTATACAATTGCCTGGCCTTGAGAGTTATAAAGAATATCCGTTTGGTGATGAATATGATATTGATCACAAATGTGTCAAAAAGAGGAACTTTATAAGCTGGACCATTCTCATTTTTAATATGTAGAGGACATCTCAACATTGCAAAAGTAACCAAACATTGGAAATGACTTCATGTGTATTTTCTCCCATTTGAGCTGTGGCAAAAATGAAGTGAGGACAAGTGTTGATATTATCATGGATGGAACACTGTTTGCCAAATTTAGGGGTGTGATAATCCATCTGCCACAGCTGGTTTGGTGGATAACCATGAGAATTAACACCAGTAGGTCAAACTGGAGTATGTCCTACACAATGAGGACCTTGGTGAAGAGTTTCCTGAGTGTGTTCCCAGGAATGTGGAATTCTGTGCATAGACTGAAAGCACTCAGATGATGCTTGAGATGCTTGGGCACAGTCATAACAGGACAGCTGCTGACAGCCTGCAGCAAGATGATTAGCTACAGTGTTGCCTGTTATCACAGGGACTGGAACTTTGGTGTGAACTCAGATGTGTCCAATAAATCAGGGATACTGAAGCACTTGAATTGTTTTCCATAGGTAGGGGATAAATGAAATAACCCTTCTGATTGTGCATACCCTGTGGTGGCTGTTTGATGTACATAGCAACGCCTACCTTATAGGCACTATCACTGTAGGTATTAACCAATTCATCAGCAAAGTGGGATAAAGCAGAAACAAAATCTTGAAGTTCTGCCCATCATGCAGAGGCTTAGGAGGTTTGTACCACATTAGTAGTAGCAAGGCTATAGTAACCAGCCTTACCTGAGCTGCAGATATCAGTAAAGGCATACATTATGGGGGAAGATAAAGACTATGGTAGCAAAGTGGATAAGCTTATTAGGAGAATAGTGATTTACAACTTGGCCAGGAAAATTAGCAATACTCACCCACCAAGCATGTGAGGATTTCCTGAGTCAGCACTGTTGTTGAACTGAAAGGGGAACCACAATGACAGAAGGCTCAGCTCCCACCAATTGTATGACTCAACTTTAATAAGAAGCTCAGCAAGGAGATCATGAAAGGGGGTCAAAGATTTGTAAGGGAAGTGAGCAACTTGGAGCCATTTGATACCTCCTGAAGACTGTCATGTGGTTGCTGTGGGGGTTGGGGGAGAAGGAATTATCTGCATGTTTATTGGCTCCTGAAAATTAAATGTAGTAAGTTGTGCAATTTTGAGGCCAATTCAGCCTTTACTAATGCAGCCCTTTCTATTAGTGAGCTGTCAATGGGCCATAGAGGGATCTTCACATAAGATGTCCAATAAGGAGCTTAGCTAGAGTGATTAATCATAAGGTGGAGCATAACCAATAATTATCTCCAAGTAACTTCTGAAAATCATTGTGGGAATGTAAGACATACGTTCAGATTTGCATGTTTTCTAAATAAATCCTTCATCCTTAAATTCAGCTGCCCAAATGCTGAAAAGGAGAGGCTTTTTTAATTCATACACTGCTAATCACAAGCTCACTGTGATAAGAGGGGATTCCAAGTGGGCAAAAAGTATTTAAAATATTATGAATTATGAATGGGACAAAAGTATGTCACCAATGTCATGAATAATATGTGCATAAGGATATGGCTTCTGCATGGCAGGAATTGCTCAAGCTACAAAAGCCTGACATAAGGTAGAACTATTGGACATTTCCTGTGATAAAACCATATCTTCTAAATGGCTCCTTGAAATTAATGACTGGAACACTAAGTGCAAAGTGCTAACAATCAGCTAGATGTAAGGATATAGTGCAACCACAATCCTTTAGGTCAGTTATTTTTAAATGACAATGAAAGGGCATAGGACATGAAGGCTTTCATGTAGGAGATGAAATCCTAGGATACAGACCAATTTCATTGTACTAGTTGCTCGGAGATCCTGTAACAGCCTCTAATTGCCAGATTTTTCCTAATTGCAAAAGTGGGGTTATTCCATGGAGTACAAGTACAAGAGCATGTTCAGTATAACCAGCTTGATGTTGTCCTTGGACAATCATATGAGCCACCTGAAGCTTTTCAGCAGTGAGGAGCCATTGATTGAGCCAGACATGGTCATCTGACAGTCACTTACTGTTTTCTACTGCCTTCTATGTGGGAGAAGAGACTGAGGCCCATACAGAAAAGGTTGATCAGGTGTATACACTAATACATGCCTTTCTCATTGGTTTCTTCCCAACCCCTTTGTGGGAATCAATCCTTCAGTAAGAATGTGGGAAGTCAACACTGAAGTAGGACTCATCAATAAGACCCCCATACTGCTTAGGACATAATGGTCCCATTAATATATTGGCAAACTCTTAAGCACATAAGGTTTGAAAAGTCACTTATTACCTTCTAAGTGTTGCCATTGAAAATACTGGTCACTCTGTTCAGCCTTAGAAATATGACCTACACCTTTCAAGTCAGTGGAAGTCCCTGTGTAAGGACCAATCTTTCAGCCAATGTTTATAGACATAAGAATGTATTATAGACATAACACATCTGCCTCAGTGTATGTAACTCCTTGAAAAAATCTTTCCTTTTTTAAAAGTTCCAATTGAAGTTGCTCTTCCCTAGCTAACTGATATCAGTGTGCCCTGTCTGATTTCCCAATAACTTTATCAATTCTGGCTTCACTTGACAAAAATTTTCCTGTTGATCGATCAAGAAGGCAAGAGCAGAATTTAAGCTGTGTTATTTTTGTGGAGTATTTGAAGAAGGGAATTGGTAGTCTGAGCCATAAATTTTATTTCCCCTGTAAAATCTGGTTCTATCACTTCCAACACTACTTGAAATCTGTTCACGGTGGGATTACCCTACTCCAATTCTAGTTCCCGTGTGCCAGAGGGCAAAGAGCAATACACCAGGACTTACAGCCTGGGGCCCCATTTCTGACAATACAGATCTGTCAGTGGGAGGGAGACAATCTTGCACCTCCTGCCTTGACCATTTCAAAGTCCTGGATATAGGATACAGGGATTGGTTGGATTGTATGACAGCCTTGGACAGAGTGAAAGTCCCCACAGTGTTTAGTGGGGATGGAGCAGGCTCCAATGCCAGTTTCCCTCGGGAGGAGGGAGAGATTGTCCATCCACATTTATCTCTGATCTGCACTCATTAGCCCAGTGTCTACCATGATGGCAACATGGACACAGCCCTCATCTTGAAAGTGGTGCCCATGAAGATTGGTCCTTGGTATTCTTTTGGCTTGGTTGATGCTCACAGTCCCTGGCCAAATTTCCAGGCTTACTACAGTTGAAGGACCCCTCTGTGGATTTTAGTTCATCTAGGCAGGCTGGAAAACTTCCTTCAAGGCCGAGACCATGGCTATCCCTGGACAGAGGTGCTACTATGTGAGCACCATCATTCCCAGGAGGGTTTAGGGGTCAGGGCCCACCTTTCTGTTTCTTCTTCTTGTTTCCCTCTCAGGGATTTTAGAATAAAGTCAGAGAAGTTGAGGAAAATAACATGGATGTGAGGAGACAGAAAAAAATGAAGCAGAAGTAGTGCACAGTGATTTTCAAAATCATTATTTTTATGCGAGCAGGTGGCTACCCATAGAGTGCACTTGGGTTCATTTTGACAAAGTCTTCCAGGGTGGAGTCGGATTCCAAACCCCAACCCCCTTCTCCTCTTTTTCTCCCTCCAGCCCCCAATTCCCTTTTTCCCTTTTCTTCTCCCTCCCCAGCCGCCCCCTCTACTCTGCTTGCCTTATTCTCACTCACGTGTGGTCTCTGATTCCTGTGGCAAATCCACACACAGAGAACATGGTTCTGTGCAGCTGGCTGGGTACTGCCTTCCCTCTCTGTCTCTCTGCGGCTGCCCTTGTGTCTCCGTCTTCTGCTCCACTGATCTCCTCGGTAGCTTGGTGATATCCACTCCACCCACCTTCTTTCCCTTTTTTGGCTCTAGATTCCACATGAGAGATATATTTGACTCATTGGTTTTGTTTATTATTTTTATTTCACTGGGGATTGAACCCGGGGTCACTTAAACATTGAGACACATCCTCAGCCGTTTTTATTTTTCATTTTGAGACAGACTCCCACTCAGTTGCTGAGGGCCTCACTAATTTGATGAGGCTGGCCTTAAACTTGTTGATTCTCTTGCCTCAGCCTCCCAAGTTGCTAGCACTGCAGACATGTGCCTCCACACCACACCTGGCGAACACTTGGTTTTCTGAGTCTTGCTCATTTAATTCATCAGGATGTTCTCCGTTTCCACCCATTTACTGGACTGTGCCATGATTTCATTCTTCTCAGTGTGTAAGGTATTCTTTATTCTCATAGTTATTAACAGGGGTGCTTGTATAAGTGGGTAGGCTTCACTGTGGTCCTTCCATGAATTCATGTACCAAGCTTTGATCTTGCCCACCCCCTTCTCCTACATGCCCCTCCTCATCTCCCTAATCTCCTTCCTACTCACTGATAGTCACTATTCTACTTTTAGGTCTTTTTTTAAAGTCCCACTTCTGTGAGTTTCTCTCTGTGTGGCTTATTTTGCTTCAATGGCGTCTTCTATTCACATCCCATTGCCTTTTAGCCACAAGCTTAACGATATCCCATAGTGTGCGTAGACCATACTTTCTGCATCTACATATCCCTTGGGCATTCACCATGGCCATTGTGAAGAATGTCACAATAAGCATGGGCACCCATGTATCTCCTCTGTGTCCTTCAGAGTGGTAC